TGGGGACTCCAACTGGCCTGCAGGCTGATCTATATACACATGTAATTATGCACTTATAGTATCATGTACAACACACACACATATATATATATTGCAATATGTATATATATATTATATATATATGTGTATATATATATGTATATATATATTATATATATTACTCGTATTTGCTACTGTAGGTCTTTGCAGCATTTCTGACTACCAGCCACACATACACACATACACACATACACACATAATCACACATACACGCATACACACATACATACATGCATACATACCAACATCCCAAACACCCCACCACCACAGGGTACAGGGGGGGTGGAACCATAAGAAGCAAGACTGAACACCCATCCCCATTGGGGGGAGGGGGGGCTGGCCGACGCCGAACCTATTAATATACAGTTTTCTGCACGCATATAAACGTATATACATGTATTACATGTATAGTCTTAGGCTATAAGAATGTTCCGTGCATGACTACATGACGCACAAGGTGCATAGTAATGCACCATTTTTCGCGGTACAAGCGCCGAGATGATGCCATCGCCCAGCAGCTGGTGAAGGAACACATGCATCAGCTGGATGCCGGGGAGACCTGGGTGGGACATGGTGGGACCTGGGGATCAAGAAAAGTCGGGAGTTCACCAAGAAAAATAGTGTCCGTGTGTTTTTTTCATGGGTTATGGGGCAGCAAAACATGGGGTTAATCAAAAAACACATAGGGAATTAACCAACAACAATGGTGGGATTTAATGGGATATAATATTGGTATTTTGAATATTCTTTGGAACTAAATGGGCCATGCCTTTCATAGTCATTGATGGGTTGACAATGGTCACACGGGGCTCTCGTGCAAGGTGGTGCCATAGCCATCGTTATATAGTTTAGTCGTTTTTTTCTGTTCTACTCTTTTTGGGGGATTACCCTCTGGTAAACTAACATAGCTATTGAAAATGGCCATTTATAGTGGATTTTCCCATTAAAAATGGTGATTTTCCATAGTTATGTTAAATTTCCTGAGGGTATTTTTTTTTGTTGTGGGTTTGATGGACCATCCAAAGATATGTGGGATGAATCACCTAGGGAATCTGTAATTGGTTGATTTCAAAAGGCACCCGTGGATGAAAAATAGGGGGTTTTAACCCACCATTGAACACCCAAGTGGTGAATACCAACAACTGGTATACCCAACCGGCCCTCTTTTGCATCCCGAAACGAATCCAAAACAACCATGTTGGAGGATATGAATGGGCGGCCGAGGTTACATATTGTAAAATTATCATGTCACGAGTCACCAACCAATGAATGCGGAATTAGCCGTCAAGAATCGGTTGGTGGGCTGAATCTGCATTTTTTTTTGGAATGTGCTGCTCCCAGTTGACTTGAATGTGTTTCACATGGGTTGAAACAAAGCAGTTTTTGCTTATGATTCCATGATTCAAACACGTCAATATGGTACCATTTGGCGACAACCCCCTTGAACTTTGAGAACTGGGCAGGAGGGCGTTGCTTGGGCACCTTAAACTGCCAGGGCTTGGAATGGTGTTGATAGAAGCGACAGGACAATTGTGGATACCTATGGATACCTACAACATCCCACGAGCATCACTGGAAATTGGCCTTGTAGGAGTGATAGACATGTGGGTCATGTGGACTGGAATGATGTGAGCATCACAAATTCTTGACACGACAGTCCATATATGAACACTTGCTCCAAGCCACCTTATGCTACGCCAGGTTTCCATATGTACTGTCCTTTCACTACGCTATCTTTGCTTTAGTGGTTGGTATGGATCTAATAATCTACTCAGGCACAGCATGAACTCATTTTCTTTGAAAGCCAGCATGGGCAGAGTTGCCTTCAGCAGAAAAAGACGCATTCAGGAATTCCGAATATGACGCGTACAGTACATTTCCCGTTTGTGCGTGGTTCATTGTGTAGTTGAAATCCTCATTTCTTTTCAAGCCATCTGTAAAATCGACATTTCGAAGGTGGAATCCATAGATGTTCTTTCCCCACTTGTTTATAGAGAATTCATGAGAATTCCATCCATTCAACAACTCATAGGTATAGACAATAATATGCCAAACACCGGCCCAGTAATATGTTTACTGTTTTTTAAACCCCATACTTAGGTAGACAGGGGGGTTGTTCTTCGTTGAGGTATACAGACGGGGGGGGGGTGGGGGGGGGGGGGGAGTGTTAACGTTCATGTTCATTAGGGGTCACACATGATGTATCTTGGGGTAGGGGGGTGGGGGGGTGGGGGGAGTGTTAGCGTTCATGTTAGCGTCACACATGATGTATCTGGGTAGGGGGTGGGGGGTGGGGGGGTGGGGGGGGGAGTGTTAACGTTCATGTTCATTAGCGTCACACATGATGTATATTGGGGTGCGGGGTGGTAGGGGGTGGGGGGGAGTGTTAGCGTCCATGTTCAGTAGCGTTCATGTTCAGGGGGGTGGGGGGGAATCTACTGCTACGTTGAAGTTATCTTCTCTTGCACTTCTGTGGAATCTACTGCTACGTTGAAGTTATCTTTTCCTGCACTTCTGTGGAATCTACTGCTATGTTGGAGTTATCTTCTCTTGCACTTCTGTGGAATCTACTGCTACGTTGAAGTTATCTTCTCTTGCACGTCTTATATCGGGTTTGTCTGGAAAGAAATCTTGTAAGGAGTCGAAGACTTCCGTGACCATGGTTGGCGGCGACCCAGTCGCAGAGAGCCACACGGCCAATCTGAAGAAGCAGCTTCGCAGGAACAACAAATTGTCAGGCTTGCCTTTGGATTCGGCGCACATAGATGGTTTGTCAGCCTTGTTTATTCACGAAAACCTGGGACTTGAAATGGTCATGGATGCCTTTGTGCGCTATATGGCCTTCGTCAAAGACAAAATTCATCCCAGCAAAGCATACGTGGATACAACTTGGCTCACTGAATCGGCCTGAACAGAGAAAATCAGAACCACGCGATCCCCTGGAAGGGTTCATTTCAACATGTCTTTTTGTTAAAAAAACGCATGTTGAGATGACAGAGATTTGGAGAATGATATACATTGATAGATGATTGATGCAGTGATCTCAGATTCATTGCAAGACATGAAAATTCGCTTCCCACTTTAGCGAAATAGACATTTTTGACAGATTCCACGTCCTTTAGTAATCTTGACACATTGCAGTGCATCATGATCATCTTGAAGAAGGCCCTGAGATTCGGGAAAACTCCCCCCGTCTACCCAACATGTTGCAACTACCATAAACCCGAGTTGTCGGACAATCATCTTGGACATGGCATCCCACCAGCGTAAGGAAAATAGATGAAAATAGCTATAGTTTTACCACAAACCCTAGTTAGAAGAATAGTTATATATGTATATATATATATATATGACTATATGTGTGTATATGTAACTTATGCCCTCCTGTACATCAACGCAGACCCTGGCAGATAGGCTTATTGGAAAGTTAGTTTCCACCCAAAATGGGTTATGTTCAGGGTCGAACTGTTAATTTACCAGACGGTAACTACCACCAATGGTGTGACCAATGGCAGGTGCAGGTCCGGGAGCTCTCCGAGTCCTTCAAGCCGATGATAGCGCGCATCGCGTTGCTCACCGCGGGGTCGGCCTCGGCCTCGACCGCGGAGGCGGAGCTGTGCGGAGACCTGGAGCGACAAGGTCCATTGACTAAAATATGGAAAACCAAGGGTAAACAATGTGTATATATATATATGCACACGCACACACACACATATATATATATATATACGTATTGATATGAATATATGTGTGTATATATATATGTATATATGTATATATGTATATATATTTATATATGTATAAATCTATATATATACTGTATGTGCAAATATATATATATATATATATGTATACACAATCATTAATTTATTTATTTTTACATATATATGTTTTTACAATATAATCTCTGTGTCTGTTCTTGACTTCAGCATGTAGTGTTCTTTTTTACTTTCCCTAGCTGCCAGGTGAGGGTCTCTAGATTTTGACAAAGGTGCTACTCCTACTTCTCCTTTGTTGTGGGCCACGCCTGGACCCGATGATCATATCGCGAGCTCCGGTGGCGGTTGAGCAATGGGAGAGAGAGATATATATATATTAAAACATATTATCATTCTTCCCAAAAACGAACCCCTTGAAGGCGGGGACCCGGCCGCTATATTGCGAGCTCAGGCTCTGGAGTGGGCGTGGACCTGATACATGGCGAGCTCAGGAGGCTGTGGAGTGGGCCTGGACCAAACTCATGCCAGAGAGAACGCCACACAATTGCAGACAGAATGTCGGATAGAATGCCAGTTAGAATGCTAGCTGCTAGATAGAATGCCATGTACAATGTCAGAATATAGATGCCGGATAGAATGCCAGAATCACCGCCTGAAAAGATGCTAGGTAGAATGTCGGAATAAATGCCAGATAGAATGCCAGAAAGAATGTCACATAGAATGTCAGAATATAAATGCCATAAATTTTCCAGATGGTATACCAGAAACTATGTCAGAATAGTGTACGGGTGAGGATGACTCAGAGAAAAAAATTGTTTGGGTATTGATGATCAGATATGTATATAAACATAAATCGATTTATATATATATATATATATTTGGTGCAGGTATATCAAACACATGGTTACTGTATAGTTTTGCTTAGCAATGTTCATGATCGAGAATGGCATAGCATGAGAGCCTGCGAGACCCAGAAAACAATGGGGCTGGAAACTGGCCTCTGGGACAATGGCTAGTTTGGAGGATGATTTTGGCGGATTTTGGTGGGATTTGGGCGCCCCAGAAGTGATGGTGGTATAGAAATGAGTTTAAAATGCAAGAAACACGATATGTGATAGCGTGGATGTCATGGTAAAATGATTGAAAACATGTCCTTGTGAATGCATACTGTAAGTTAGTGTTTATAGTCGTTTTTCCCTTGGGTGCCATGGGTCAGCCGAGGTCTGAAAAAGGTCCCTCAAACTGCGAGGTGCCGCATGGGGGCCATATGGGATGTGAATGTTAAAGGATGCCCATGTGGGCAGCCTTCAAAACCTCCGTTGGTTGATGATTACATGAGGTTATATCGATCCAAATCGATCCAATGTATTGGGGATTATCACAATCCAATATGGGTGCTCTGGGAGATCATTTTTTTAGGTCCTCAAATTTGCTTTCCGTGAAGGGAAAATCATGAATTGCTCAACTGCTGAAGGATTGTGCCTATTTTCTCGTTTTTTGGCAACGGCAAGGGACCTAAGCGATGTTCTGGTGGTTTCCCTGCTTTGGGACGGGGCAGGAGCCGCAGTGGGGACCTCAGGACACGTCAAGGTGCAGGGTGCATCTTGGACCCTCCAGCCCTGACGTCATAACCACATTCTGGCACCCCCAAAGATCGAAAAGTTGAAAACCTGGAGGGGAAAACATCATCGAACGATCATCCTGGAAAATATTTTTCCGCATTTTTTGGTGTTGAAATCTATGAAAATGAAACCGACTGTCAGTTCCAGGAACATTTTGCCCCAAGGGTCCTTTTAGGTGATGGTTGCCAGAGACGGATGGAAAACTCGTTATTTTCACCACTAATTTCGTCCAAAAAGTCTATGATATATAATTGTACTTGATATAAGAACAAGTAAGCACATGAACATTACATTAAACTCTGTGAAAACACCACTGTAAAAAAAATCAGCAAACAATTGGTTTCCAACAAGAAAATGAACTAACTGCTGCTAACTTTTGCCTGAGGCCTGGGCAATCTTCGGCACAAACCACCTCGGAGGTACCACCGACTTGGTGTCGTGCCAAGGGATGTAGAACGTGGAAGTTGGTTGGAACTTAAATCTACCATAGCCATGTGTATATACATATATATGTTATATATGTATCATAATCCATATGTTCATAATATTCAGTCACCATATATAGATTGGTACATGGATATTTGCTGAGGTAAATCGATAGCTAGCTAAGTTACTCTCTGGTAATTTAAGAGTTTGCTATGGAAAACGGATACCGAAGTTCAGATCATCTCCATGGATTTTTGCCCTCGATTTCTTTAAGCACTGCGTGTGTTTGTTCATTCCGTGTGTGGGATGACTGAAACCATACCCAACCAACAAAGTCCTAATGTTGGGTCTGATCATTGGGGTTTAACCCTCATACATGGAAACCGATACGCAACTTTATAACTTTACTGGGAATATCATTGGATATCTCACCAACTTGCTATAGTTTTTGAGCGTGTCTGAAAATGCAGGCTACAGTACCCCCCCCAAAAAGTTCCATTGCTGATTGTGATGGAAGCGCTATAAATCAACCTTGCCAATATATTTGGATTTTGTAGATCTGCATAGCTATTCGGACTGAGATAGCTTTTGCCATATTATATTATACTATATATATATATATGCACTACTATTTTATATGCTAAAAGCCCGAAACCTATCACACACTTTTGGGAGGCGAATCACCACCAAGATACGATGTGTCATGTCAATCCTGGATGAATAACACCCCCTGGCTGTTTCCAGATGGCAATGGGCAATGAAGGTTGATACGAAATCTGATGGTACATCAAGTGGTCACTGACAACGTAGGTGAAGGCTATGTCCAAGTCATGTCAACATTCGTTTGGTTGGAGGTTCAAATATTGAGGGTTTTTTTCCCAAGTTTCCCAGCCATACTTGGGATGATTGGTTGAGCTCACGAGCAGTTTCTTGCAATGGCTTCGAAGGACAGTGACGTCCATAGTTCCCAGGGACCGGCGACCCAAGCAACCTCGCCGACCAATGGAACAAGGAGCGATCCGCGACCTGGGAAGGGCAATCAAGGGTTTGCAGGGATTGGAGATACTTCCTTGTCTTGGCGTACTGAATAGTGGAGTGAAAAGAATGATATTATATTTCAATAGCAATAGTTGTACTTGTGTGAAATATATATTTATATATATATGTATACTCTGTATAACTTTCCTCCGATTGCTTCCATTTCGCCTGCCGTGAAATGGATTCTCACAAGAATGATTACAATATATTGTGATTTCCAGGTAGGCACCAGAAAATACAAATAAGTTGGTGTCTTCGGAAACAACCATTGAGGGTGGTTTGAACTACGCAACGAAAGAGAGCTTCTCAGCATTGGAAGTCGAATGAGCATCAATGGATGAGCATCAAAATTGATGCCAATGTTTCTGTTGTATTTAAAAACATATGTTTAACATGGTTTAACATGTTTTAACCAACAAAGAGTTAGTTTGATGCACAGGATGATCTGGCGGCCTGGAAAGCCTGGCGGCCTGGCCAGGAGTATGCAGGAAGGGCAGGAAGGAAGCGCGGAGGTCACCGGCGGCGGCATGGAAGCGGGCTATCAGCCATTGCCACAAAAATGACCCAAATGTAATGCAAAATGCTAAATGTACCATGCATGGAGCATCTGGATTTCTGGGTGTTGGAGTGTCAGTAGATGTCAGTAGTTTTAGGAGAGGCCTGTATGGTAAAATATCCTGTTTAGAACCACTTACGGTTGCACTTGCACAAGCGTGCAGCATGTTCAACTGTTGCAGCTGTTGAGCATGTTGAGGGCAAACCTGCAAACTGCTAGAAGACACTCGTAAGTTATTGTCAAAAGACTTCCAAGAGTCTTGTTTGATGCCAACATGACCAACATTGCATGCGTTACGCAACCTGGATACACCAGTGGTTGGTTGATGAAGAAAAGACGGGCAAACACATGGCAACACCCTATTTTTCATCATTCAGAGTTTGAAACTATGAATATTATGAATTGCCAGCATATCAAAAGTGATACGCAGCGCATGAATTCTTATTCTAAAGATACATTACATTATTATATACTATTTCTGACCCATTTGAGTCGCCCTAGTCACAGCAACTGGCGCCATGAGACTTCCGAGCTACGCCTGGCCATGCAGTACGAGACCAGCGAAGGTCACTGCGTTGTGGCACCGCTGCGCTGTGACACACGGCTGCAGCAGTTCGTGGCGCGCAGCTTTCGGGAGCAGCTGGGAAGACAGTCGGGAGCTCTGCATGTGAACGTGCGGCAGTATGCGGCTGGGTGGCACAAAGGCACAACTGGATGAACCCGAAAAAAGTGGGGAAAGCAACTGTAGTGTGGGAATGTAATGGGGATGACTAACTTACTTAATAATGATATATGAATATATATGATGATCTATGGGGATGCCCCATGGTGATTTTACAGGGTTATGAAGGCAAATAATCCAATCCAATTGGTCATTTTCCGTAGCTATGTTGGATATTGATAAACTACCCGCTGGGTGGTTTATGCCATAAACCATCCCGAATCACGCTCAACAGAAATGGGATGAAATGGGTGGGTATTAACAATCAAACATTGAAGTTGTACTATTGGATTTACGACATGACCAAAGTTTTTATGTTGTTTAAATTCCTATGTTCGAAGGAAGTTTAGAAGTCAAACTTCCGACAATATGGACAGATGAAAAGCAGAGCAGGGCAGAGGGAGAGAGAAGAGAAAGATTAGAAGAGAGAAGATCAGAGAAGAGAAAGAGTCAGAAGAAAGAAGATGCAGATGCGCGAAAAGGTAGGAAAGTCGCGAAACATTGTGTTTTTCCAATGATTATAATGATTTGTGGCTCCGGAGGCTCGAAAAGTAGGCTCGCTAAAGCGGCGGGTGCGGAGCCAGCTGGCCAGATGAGAGATGAAAAATTGCACGCCGTTGTGGCGCGAAGCACATTTCCAAGTCAAAATGTCCAAAACACACCAGGTTCGGACCACTTTTGGAAGTTGAGATGTCGAAAAAGTGCACGCCATTGTGGCGCGAAGCACATTTCCAAGTCAAAATGTACAAAACACCTCAGGTTCGGACCACTTTTGGAAGTTGAGATGTCGAAAAAGTGCACACAGTTGTGGCGCGAAGCACATTTCCAAGTCAAAATGTACAAAGCACCTCAGCTTCATGGCGCGAAGCACATTTCCAAGTCAAAATGTGCAAAACACCTCAGCTTCGGACCGCTTTTGGAAGTTGAGATGTCGAAAAAGTGCACGCCGTTGTGGCGCGAAGCATATTTCCAAGTCAAAATGTACAAAACACCTCAGCTTCGGACCACTTTTGGAAGTTGAGAGGTCGAAAAAGTGCACGCCGTTGTGGCGCGAAGCACATTTCCAAGTCAAAATGTCCAAAACACACCAGGTCCGGACCACTTTTGGAAGTCAAGATGTCGAAAAAGTGCACGCCGTTGTGGCGCGAAGCACATTCTGAAGTCAAAAGTGTTAAAAACTGGCGGTCTCCGACCACGTTTGGAAGCTAGACAGAGAGACAGATGAAAGAGAGAGAGATAGATCGATAGATAGATAGATAGATACATAGCTAGACAGATAGACAGGTAGACAGCTAGACAGAGAGACAGATGAAAGAGAGAGAGATAGATCGATAGATAGATAGATAGATACATAGATAGATAGATAGATTGGTAGGTAGGTAGCTAGGTGCACCATAGATAGATAGGTAGACAGACAGACAGACAGACAAACAGATAGATAGATAGATAGACAGGTAGACAGCTAGACAGATAGACCGATGAAAGAGAGAGAGATAGATCGATAGATAGATAGATAGATACATAGATAGATAGATAGATTGGTAGGTAGGTAGCTAGGTGCACCATAGATAGATAGGTAGACAGACAGACAGACAAACAGATAGACAGATAGATAGATAGACAGGTAGACAGCTAGACAGATAGACCGATGAAAGAGAGAGAGAGAGAGAGATAGATAGATAAATAGATAGACAGGTAGACAGCTAGACAGATAGACAGATGAAAGAGAGAGAGAGAGAGATAGATAGATAGATAGATCGATAGATAGATAGATAGATAGAGTGATCAAATGAAAGAGAGAGAGGGAGAGATAGATAGCTAGATAGAGAGATAGATAGATAGATAGATAGATACATAGCTAGATAGATAGGTAGGTAGGTAGACAGTCAGAGAAAGAGTGAGAGAGATCAATCGTCTTTCGATCCATCAGTGGCTTCGCTCTGCCATCCCTGATTCACAACAACCAATCTCTCCTATAGGTTTCCTATTTTTGAAACTTCCGCAACCGCCTCGTGCGGTACTACTGGTATTTGGATTGGCGGCAAAAGACACTAAGAAACTCAGTATAGCGTATTCAAGTCTCACAGGCGCCAGTCATAAGAAACAATAGAACAGCTTTCAAATCACAAAATGTTGACATCATCAGAAGATGTACAAGACATCGAACTCTTCCACACAGCTTCTGTTGTTTTTTGATGATTAGCTTGGGCCCCATAGAAAACTTCCCATATCCCATATATTCCACATATCATATATCCCCTACACACATATATAATTATATATGTAATACTGTCCTGCTTTTATGATAGTTGAAAAGGTGGTACTGTATATTTGCATCTTTGGACACCACGGTTACACCAACATTCACTACTGGTCTGAATTGGACACCCTTAGAACATCTTAGAACGCTCGCTACCGGTAGTGAATGGAAGCCCTTAGAACGCTCGCTACCCGTCGTCAATTGGGAACTCTTAGAACGCTCGCTACCGATAGTGAATTGGGAACCCTTAGAACGCTCGCTACCGGTAGTGAATTGGGAACCCTTAGAACGCTCGCTAGCGGCAGTGATTCGGGAACTCTTAGAACGCTCGCTAGCGGTAGTGAATTGGAACCCTTAGAACGCTCGCTACCGGTAGTGAATTGGAAACCCTTAATTGGAAACCCTTAGAACGCTCGCTAGCGGTAGTGAATTGGGAACCCTTAGAACGCTCGCTACCGGTAGTGAATTGGGAATTCTGTCAATGGGGAGCCCTTAGAACGCTCGCTACCGGTAGTGAATTGGGAATTCTGTCAATGGGGAGCCCTTAGAACGCTCACTGCCGGTAGTGAATTGGGAATTCTGTCAATGTGGAGCCCTTAGAACGCTCACTACCGGTAGTGATTTGGGGATTCAAAATGTATAAAAAAATGGTGCTATTAAGATAAATAGTGTTCTAACAGGGAGTGACGGTCGCTCCCTGTTAGAACGCTCGCTACCGGTAGTGAGTGTTCTAAGGGAGGGTTGGGAAACATCGACCCAGGGATGATCTTGTGTTTTCGCCGGGGTCTTAGTGAGAAGAACGCAAGATTGATGGTGCCCCAGCGACGGAAAAACTCCACTAGAACGCTCGCTACCGGTAGTGAGTGTTCTAAGGGTGCCACCGGAATCATCGGAATCATCGACCCAAGGATCATCTTGTGTTTTCGCTGGGGTTGTACTGAGAAGAACGCAAGATTTAGGGTGGTCCAGCGACTCCAAAACTCCACAAGTGCAGTCGCTACCGGTAGTGAGTGTTCTAACAGGGGGTGACGGTCGCTCCCTGTTAGAACGCTCGATTTAGGGTGGTCCAGCGACGCCAAAACTCCACAAGCGCAGTCGCTACTGGTAGCTTCATCTAGTGTGTGTGTTTTTTCTCACTGGCTGGGTCTCCACAAAAAGCGTTGACAAGGGAGTTCAAAAGACCTTCCAAAGCATTTCAATTTTCAACCATCCCATTCATTTAAACGTTGGGCTCCATTCATCTGGGGCAGTGTCCCACCATCATGCAACGAAAGGTAGTGTAATTTGTCTGCAGCTACTGGGGCTTTGTTTGTCTTCCTTTTTTGACAATCTTCAACTTGTGCTAATTCCATTGGGTGTTAGTTGGGCTTACCTCCCGTCTCCAGCAGTATCAACTATTCAACTAGTTTCCTGCAGAATGCTAGAGAGTGTCCTAGGGGTACCCCATTCACCTGTAGTCCTGTAGTGATCGTTTTCAAGAATGCCTCGATTCGTACCAGTAGCGAATACTGGTGGGTGACCATTCTGTCCAACGATGCCTATACATTCAGTACCACCTTTTCAACTATCATAAATACAGGTCAGAATATAGTATATATATATATGCAATATTATGCATGAATGATCCCTACAAAGAGAATATCCCCCATGAATTTCCATGAATTTCCCATCTTCATCCCAGGCCGCCAGTGCCTGCCAGTCGGGTCTGGTCCTGGTGGACGGCCACGTGTCGCCGGGGCGTCGGATGCTGCAGGGCGGCGAAGTCGTGCTCCTGCGCTCCAGCGCAACGGAGGAAGGCGGCGATGCGCCAACTAAAAGACGAGGTGGGGAATGTCATGGATCCATGGGATATATATATATATATATATTTATATATATATATACATACATGATCTATATATACATAATGTCAACATGGGATTAATAAACCACCCGCAATAAAGTACGCCAACTCCCGGGAAAAAATAAACCCCCCGTAATAAAGTACGCCAACTTGTTTTTCCCGTTTTTTTCCGTTTTTTCCCTTTATGTATTCGTTTTCAATTAGGCAATTCATTTGTGAATGCTAAAGTTGTTTTTTCCGGTTTTTTTTTCCGTTTTTGTTCCCTTTATGTATCCGTTTTCAATTAGGCAATTCATTTGTGAATGCTAAAGTTTTTTTTCCGTTTTTTTTTCCCGTTTTTTTTCCCTGTATGTATTCGTTGTCAATTTGGCAATTCATTTGTGAATACTAAAGTTGTTTTTCCGTTTTTTTTCCCGTTTTTTTCCTTTATGTATTTGTTTTCAATTAGGCAATTCATTTGTGAATACTAAAGTTTTTTTTCAGTTTTTTTTCTCCGTTTTGTTTCCTTTATGTATTCGTTTTCAATTGGGCAAGTTGTTTTTTCCGTTTTTTTTCCTGTTTTTTTCCCTTTACGTATTCGTTTTCAATTAGGCAATTCATTTGTGAATACTAAAGTTTTTGTTCCGTTTTTTTTTCCTTTTTGTATTCGTTTTCAAATAGGCAATTCATTTGTGAATACTAAAGTTGTTTTTTCCGTTTTTGTTTCTCCCTTTTTTTCCCTTTATGTATTCGTTTTCAATTAGGCAATTCATTTAAATATCTATCTATCTACTCTATGTATATGTATATATATATATATTATCTAGTTTTGCTTAAGGGATCTATATGGATCTATGTGGATCTATTTGAATCTATATGGATCTATATGGATCTATATGGATCTATATTGATCTATATGGATCTATGAGATTCTATGAGTATATCATAGTCCCAATCCAATAATCATAGGATCTACCCTCTGGCAAACCTACAAAAAGCTACGGAAAAGCACAATGTTTAATAAGGGAATCAACTAAAAATCACCATGTTCAATAGCTATGTGAAATTACTGGTATGATCATGTTATATCATACTGTGTCATATTACATATTTCATACATATATATATATATATATATCATAATCCAATACTGTAGCCAGGTGAATATCTGGCGAAATCTGGGGATGTTCCACATTATGTATACATGGTCAAATCAACCGGTGTACTAAGTGGGAATGCAGCCCCCAGGAAAGAAAACACAAAGAGAGCTGCTGGCATCGGAGGGTTTACGTATTTGTTACGATGGTTTATAATATAATGTTGTTAGCTAGCACCCGAGTTTAATCTCATCTAAGATTGCATACCAAGACCACTCTGGCACCCTTTAGGTGTTGGACCTATTCATTTTGAACGCGTAATATTGATATTGGGAAAGGAATTGTAGGGGGGTGGCTTTGGATGCTTGTACAATCTCGTGATAGTATGTAATGCTGTATATGTTGGCTGAAAGTGAATTGCAACGACGATCGCATTTTAGAAGTAAAGCGCCGTCATCAGTTAGATATGATATAATTATATATATAGTCTATAGTTATATAATTCATTTGACATAGTAGGAACTAGGTTTCCCAATATAATTGGGTATGCGTTTAAATTCCTCAGAAGGCTTCGGCACAACCAAAAGGCCTGAACTTCCCCAGTGCTTGGGGTGTCCTCGTGGGACGGCTTATGACTTGGAGGATTACAGTATCCCACCTAGTAAGTGGCTAGTAAGTGGTTAATAAGTTAATAAGGTAATATGTGGGATGATATTCTACAATCCATTTATAGATGGGATTAATTAATAAATGCTTAATAACCATATCTACAATATTCGATAATCCATTTATAGATGGGATAACCCACTATGAATCATTCTTTACGATCGAAACCCTGGCAACCTTCACCTTTTTTTTTCGGTACCTTGGTTTCAGGTGTTCCTCGCATGTTGCTCCACGACTTAGATCAAGAGATGCAAGTGGAAGAGCATGGCGAAAATGGCTATGCCCACTTCTGCAGATACTACCGCGATGTGCAGCTTTTGCTTGGATTGGAAGACTGGGAGCGGTGTGAGAAACTCTTCTTCAGCCCGGTGCCATTGAGTTTGCGGATCAACCGGACATCGATGCACCAGCAAACCTTGCAAAGCCTGCAAGAGACATTCGGGACGCGAGCTGAAATGGTGTCTCTTCGTGACACGAACATGTTTTCGTCTTCCATGCCTACAGATGTGATGATGATCCCCAAGCGAGTTTCATTTTCCAAATGTTCCATGTATGGAATATGTACCAACATTTACATACATTTACCACTGAAATAATCTGAATACCATACATGGAGCCTCTGGGTATTCTGGGTATTCTGGGTGGTTCAACATGATCAACATGGTTCAACATGGTTCAACCACGACCCAGGTTCCTTGGATGATGCCCTTTGGTGGAGCCATGCACGTGGCGCCCAGTCCTTCTTCAGAGGAGGCGTTTGCAGGTCTGCAGCTGGTGCACTTCCTGGCAACTTCAGGAGATCGACAACCAATGGGGCCATCAAAACGGCCGCCATGATGATTGCTGATATATTGGTTATGATTGGAAGTTGTACTAACCATGGGACTAATATTAACTTTATGTTTGGTTATAACATGTTATAACCAATGTATGTTATAACTAACTAATTATAGCCATGGTTGATAGTTGAAGTGGTATGAAGTGGTATGAAGTGGTACTAATATGTTATATGGAATGATATATCATGAGAATCCATAGTATGGAAACGATCCTTGCCATTCGATATCAAAAAATGTTGTGAAAGGTCGTATAGTGACATTGTTGGCTGTTGGCCCCGTGCCAGTTGTAGCTTGGTTTGCCCATTCAATGGATAGACTGATAGGCAGCCCTATATCCATCTACAGGTCATACTGTGCCAATGCCAACCCTGGCTTGCCAAACACTGGATGATTAGTTGTATGTCCCAAAAACGCAATACGTGGCTTTTTAAAGATGAGCTCGATGAAACTTGCCAGGGCTTCGTCAATTTCCAGTGGTACTTGACCATGGCAATTGGAAACCGCCATGTTCCATGCCATACACAAGACATGATAAAACATATGGAAATGGACCCAAAACAAGTCAAAGAATTTCGCGGAATCTTCCAAATTTCGATCACAAAAAACCTCCAAAAACACAGGAGAAGTGGTGGTGCAGGAGGCCCTTTCGATGCTCCCGGCCTGTGCCTTAGACGTCCGTCCGGGCCACAGGGCCCTGGATTTGTGCAGCGCCCCAGGGAGCAAGACCTGCCAGTTGCTGGACGCCCTGCAGGGGGAGTCCGCTTCCGCCCTGGTGGCCAATGACCTGCTGTTGGAACGTGCGGAACGGGTCAAAAACAGGGCCAAATGGCAAAGGTGTAGGGAACTCATGGTGACCAATTGGGAGGCTCAGGTTGGGTTTTTGGAGAGATTTCGGATGATTTGATATGATTTGATGATATTTGATGATATGTGATGATATGTGATGATATTTGATGTGATGTTTCACGATTTTGACGATTTATTTGGCTGTTTGGAGTGCTGATTTTGGATCACGTTTTATGTAGTTTTAAGTTTTGTTGGCTTTTCACCGCCCTAGTAGGATGATTTGGCAAAAGTTCAGAATGCTTGACCCGGGGGATGTGGGAAGACAGCACCACCCAGGATGGTTGTGTCTTCCCCAAAGTCTTTCCAGAAGGCTTTGATCGAATACTGGTGGATGTGCCGTGCAGTTCCGACGGGACGATGCGCAAGGAGCTGAAGCGTTTGCAGCGCTGGAAGGTTTCGTCGGCCTTAAACCACCATGGATTGCAACTGCGGTTGCTGTGTCGTGGCCTGGAGTTACTGAAGCCAGGAGGGGCCATGGAAAATCATGGAAACTTGATGAAACTTGTGAGTTGCAGATAGTCGCAGTTCATTTATGTCCTTTGTGTTTCCTTACCAATTTGATTGTTCCACCACCAGGAGGGCGTTTGGTCTATTCCACCTGTTCTTTGAACCCCATCGAAAACGAAGCCGTTGTACAAGCGGCGTTGCTTCGTTTTGGCCCAGAGCTGTCCCTGTTACCCGCAGAAGATGTGTTACCACCTGGATGTCCTCGCGGTTCCCCTGGCCTGGACGATTGGTTCGTGCCGGACCCATCCTTTGAGTCAACTGCTGTGGTACACCACGAGGTTGGACACCTCCCAGCCCCATTGGAGGCCTCCATGTTTGCGACTCCCCAAGGTAGGCAGCTTCATCTGCAGCGTTGTGCCAGGTTTTGGCCCATTCACGGGCCATATTTTGGTGGATTTTTCCTGGCAGCCTTTGCGAAAACTGCCAGCTGTGCACCAACAAAGCCTTTGGCTTTCAATGAGTTCACGCCACACTTTGTGAATGTTGCCGAATCCGCCCCGGACACTGGATTCTGAATGTTTGTGAGAATCTGTTGAAACTTTTTAAAGCACCGAAATGTCAAATGTTTTCACCACCTGCCTTGCCGGTTGAAGTACAGTACATAAGTCGTACATTAGCAACTTTTAAGATTCAAGATCTCTTGAGTCCCAAACACCGTATCTCCATTTGCTTGAAACTAGTACATTAAACATCCCAACAGTCTAGATCAAAGCAAGTACGATTTTTCCTGTCGGAGAAATTACATCCAAACACATCCCAAAGTGAAACCATGTGGAACCATGGCATTTTTTGCCCAAAAGAGGAGGGTTTTGATGACCTGGTGCAGTTCTTCGGCCTTGAGCCATCAGAGCTGCGGTACTGGGTGCTGAGTCCCAGTGGAACGATCTGCGAAGTGAGTCCCAGATATCTCGAAGTGGAGCGCAGCCTGGGAAACCTGGCGATTCTGCAGGTTAGATTGGGAAAGATTGAAGAGATGACAGATGTCATTTGAACATATTTGAAATGAGGAGCCAGATAATTTCAAGGTTCATAGGTTTTAGTGGTTCAATTTTGCTGAAGCTGTTTCTGACTGTATTTGAGCCATTTCGCAGGTGGGTCTTCCGCTACTACACCGCCTGCGAACCGGTCACTGGAAGATTTGCCCCGAAGGGGCGCAGCGTGTAGCTGCGGCCGCCACCAAGCGAAAGATGTGGCACCCAGTGAAGTGGGACACGGCAACTGCCTTGTTGCAGAGGTCCTTGCCTTGCGATGCGGCTGATGCTCGTTGGTGATGTTGGTGGATGTTGGTGGTTCCATGCTTGTTTCTCCAAAAGAAGATATGATTCTATCACCCAAAAAGGCGGTGTCCATTGTAGATGATCACTGGCAATTAAGAACATGGAGGTTAGGTACAACATGATCCCAGTCAACCACGTTTTGGGAAAATGTCCTGCTCAAGCACCAAGGATGGCCCTTTGTTGGTTCAAGTGGCTGTCGCAGACAGTAGCTGCTGGTTGAGTGGAGATGTGGTGAACGGCATGCTGAGTTTGGAGACGCCCAGTGATGTGTTGCAGCGGATTCGGCTGGTGCTGGAGGAAACAAATCGCAGCCTGACTGCCCTGGCTGCTCTGCGGCCCTGTGGGATTGTGATGAAGCGTGTGGCAGAGGTGGAATGATAGGTTGTTGCCGCTGCTGCTGCTGGTGGCATATTGTAATATTGTACGATGACTTGTTGGCGCATGATGGCAACTATTGCTAAGAACATCTAAGAACTATTGCAAGAGTACCCTCGATATCACTTGATTTCCCTGGATAGATCTGAAGAGATCATAGTGGATCGCTGATCACGGTGGCCAAATTTTTGTTCTAGGTCTAAAGCATGATGATGAAGCCGAATCTGCGAAGATCCCTGATTTGTAGCCTATGATCTGACCATTCCAACCAGGAATTGTTCATTTGCTGGCTTATTTTGAAGAATCACCATCTTAAGACTTAGGACCAGTTGTTTGAACATATTTCATCATATTTCAGCCTGCAGTTCGTGTGTAGACTCAAAAAGATTCACACGACGGTCGCGCCAGAAATCCCAGTTTTCGGCGCATCTCCCAAGCCATGGGTCATCATCGAAACCATCGAAACCATGGAAACCATCCCCATGGCCGCCATGGCCCATCATAAATCATCATAAATCCATATGTATATATAATATATATATAATTGAGATGATATGGGATGGATATAATATGATATTCATCCCCATATATATATAGTATATATATATATAGCATATATATATATATAGTATATATATATATGGAAAACCATAAAGACAAAACTTTCTGTCCGTACGGGTTTGGACATTTTTTTTGTCCGTTACGTGTTTTCTCCAAATACGGCCATGTCCGGCTGCAAACTCTCTACTTACAGGTTAATTTAGTTAATAGTTTTCCTGAAGTCTTGGATTTGTCGGACTGGTTCCGACAGTATGAGAGTCTCGTCTAGAGACGGTATTTGGGGCAGTATGTTGACATTTGCTTACTTTTTTTTTTCAACATGATGTTGAAAAAATACTGATATTTTAATTTTATGGGTACATCCAAATTTGGTGGGAAATATGGCAGTATTTGTGGCCAGATTTGGGTGCCCGATCACGACTCCCAATTTGCTCCACTTTGGACTGAAATTCCTCTTTTGGAGACTGTCGGAGGATGTCCGAACACGGTGTTGTCAAAGGATTTGAACAACCCTTCACAATCAAAAACCAAAATACGCAATTGAACAAAAAAAACGTCCGTTACGGGTAAAACCCATAATGGACAAAAAAAATGTCAACATACTGCCCCAAATACCGTCTCTAGATGAGACACTCATACTGTCGGAACCAGTCCGACAAATCCAAGACTTCAGGAACACTATTAACTAAATTAACCTGTAAGTAGAGGGTTTGCAGCCGGACATGGCCGTATTTGGAAAAAACACGTAACGGACAAAAAAAATGTCCAAACCCGTACGGACAGAAAATTTTGTCTTTATGGTTTTCCAGGTATCATAGTATATCATATTGAATGTTGGGGATTGCTAATATATTTTTTTTTGCTAATATGGTGAAAAAATCATATCATCATCTTGGGGATGTAGAAAATTTCAGGATCTTTTCCAATTGCCCACTGGATTTGCGCCAGGAATGCCCACTGGAAAGCAGGAATCCACCGGCGGCCACCGGCCCTTCAGATCCTTCAGGCTGCCCCAGTGCCCGGGCCCCGGGGGCCCCGGTGCAGTTGAGCAGCATAACCATCGCAACTTAGGGTTGTTTTTTTAGGACATTCTAATGTGGATTATGACATATTATGACCAGAAAGTGGAATTTGAGCTTCAACATTTGGTCATTTGCAATGATCGAACTGATTTAACCATCATCAATTGGCTTTAAAGGAGGCAAAACTGTCAGGTTGCCTTGGTTTCTATAGGATCAAACATATGTGGTCGTTTTGGTTTGGACTTCAAAGTGGGTGGATTTAAGCGGGAAAGGGTACCAGAAACATCAGAAACCAAGTTTTCATTGTCAAGAAATACTTTCCCGCAAATGTGCCTTTCCTTGGGTCGACATGATTAATTCTGGGAAAGGAACCTGAAGCCTGCTGCCAGAAGCAGGTTGGTGTACATCAAATCATCGAATGTCACTATGCACTATGTTTCAAGATGTTTCAATCCATTTGCTGAATGTGTCTTGTTCAGTGAAATCATCATCATCATCATCACCATCATCCTCGTCCCTACTAATATTGCCATAAATTGGTATTTCCCATTCTCGGACACAACCAGATGGCAAATAATCTGCTCGATCCCCCAGAGACCTGCCCCCAAAAAAACCGTGAAAGCGAGGTCAATGTGATCCCGATTCAACGGAGATCTTCCGCGCCCAGTAGCCGGCTTAGTTTCAAAAAAAATCACTAGCAATACCACTACAAATGGTGATTTAATGGTGATTTTAATGGTGATTTAATGGTGATTTAATGATGATCAGTTAATTATAGGAGATACATCGTGCGGTTAAGTGACCGGTGGTTTCACCAACAAAAAGTCAGGATGTTCACTAACAAATTTGGTGGTATAATGGCCCCAGTGTAGCTGCTTGTGTAGCCATGGCTCAAGGTGCTCTGCAACTAAAGAGTGGCCAATGGTGCCTTTCGATTGCACCCCTCAACCCAAACCTTTGGCCCCAAAATCGTTGTGTTTTGCAGGTATTTGCAGGTAGTTTTCCAACCCGCTGGCAGAGTCTCTTGTAGTTGGAAGGTAGCACAGAGCTGACCCAGGTCACAAGAACTGGAAACCTCACAACAGCTCTCAGGTTTCTACCCTGTTGCGATGATGTTGCCACCTTAGACCGTGGCGATGTGTGGGGTCGTCGAGGCCCTGGAAGGATGTAGCTCGAGAGCCTCTTCACCGCTGGTTTCATAGGTCACTCCCTGATTTGTCAAATGCTGCAATGTGTAGACAAATAGCAGGTGTAGACAAGGATTCAAATGTTCAGCATTGTGTAGACAAATAGCAGGTACCAAGTGAAAATATTGAAACATGTTGATGTTCCAAGCTTGAGTCATCAGGTGACAGCCAACATGGCAGAAAGACCTAATGCCATAGCTATCATCAAATCCGAGGCCTGCGGGTACCAGATCGCCCAGTTCAAGGAGGGTATGGTCGCCCAGTGAAAGATTTGGGTGCTAGCCTTGGGTGCTATAGGAAAACTCCTAGGAAACTGATGATATTTGTTGAGTACATGCAGTCATTCTTGCTAGCTGAAGCTATATGATTGCACTATATTATACATACATACTTGGTTCCTCTTGATCGTGGAAATTTCCACACCAAAGCCAAAATCGATCAATTTTGCCAAATTGAAGGGAAAAAGAACTCCTGAACGAGTATTTCCGCTCCAGAACACTTTTTTTACTCCAGAACGCTTCCGAACGCTTTTTTAACGCCTACTGAACGCTTTTTCCCACTCTAGAACGTCCGAAGATGTCCGAAGTGTCCCGAACGGCAAAAACCACTCCGGCGTCTTTTTTCCACACCAACCCCCAAAATCGATCTTTTTTCGGTTTGGAGTTAAATCCAGTATTGGGAAGCTCCAGGTATATATATTATATATACATATATATGTGTGCGTGTGTATCAGGCATGAGCGGGGTTTGATTCTGATGAACCATGCTTGGAATTCCTTGGACAGCCAGCGGTTGTAGCTGCAAGAAATTTAAGTACATGATTAGGACTTGGGACCCATAGATTTGAAGACGGACATTCTGGGGGTACACAGATGTTGACTTATCTTAATATAGCTTGAAGCCTCCAAATCCCAAGCCATCCGAAGAATACAGAAACCATCCCAAAGCTGACTGAGATTCCTGGGATGCTGAGGGGACACCTCGATCCATGGTGGTGCGACCTGTTCAACCTGCAGGTTGGGGCTGCTTGTTGCAACATGAGCCATGTTTTCCCTTTAAAAAATATAAAAAATGAAGCATTCGAAACACCCCTATCCCATCTGTTGGTTGATAGGCCCATTGTGGGTTCGTCCGCAGCGTCAGGAGCTCCACGGCATGGAAGGTCGGGCGCCCGAGGAGGACGAAAGGGGGTTGACCGGGAAATGGATAGCTTCATGAGCGTGAATTCGCTATAAGTCAATGGGAAAATATGGAAAAATGTTAGTACCCAGCTAATTATATACATTTATATCCTTTTTTGGGGGAAGGAATATCTTTGAAGATGTGCCATGGACATAGGGGAGACCTATGAAATCGGATGAACGTGGAAAAACATGTCCAATATGAACGAAC